GTGGTGGTTAGTATGGGTCTTGTTTGTTTGTTTAAGGGCTGGGGGCGGGGGTTCTGTTTAGGGTGACGGACAATTGGACCTACTGTGGATGATTGTACAACATGATCCATATCGTGGATGTCAATAACTTGGACACGGAAAAGCTACTCAATCACCACCAACACGTCCAAGTCCAGGCACCATGATCGGGACAAGTTCAGGGAGAAAAAGACAAGTCTGAACCCCAAGAAAGCAGAAAACTGGGCGAAGGACGGGCAGAGGGGCCCTGCACCAGCCTCCCCAGCCTGCAGCGCACACTCACCACAGCGCCCAACAAGGGGGTCACTGTCTGCTGATCTCCAAATTCTGGAGTCAGCCTTTAGAGAAAGCCCCCGAGGCTCGTGATGGTTACAAAGAGAATGCAAATGCTACCAGCACAGACATTTTCCAAGGACATTCACGGATGACCAAGTCAGAGGCTGGAGCAGGGAGCTGAAAAGTAGGGGTGCACTTAACAGTCTTCTCCCACAGAGGGTGGGGTCAAAAGGCACCATCTACATTTGCTAGAACAGGAAAATCTTGGCCAAAGGAGGACATCAGGACACACTGTCAGTGATTGTCAGGTTTATTGTGCCAACCTGGCCCATAGAAACATGTGGGATTAATCAGGTCGAAGTTTGATTGGAGGGCAAAGGATCAATGGCTCTGCAAAGCCCGCCCCCTCTATCTTGTTCTCTGGTGATTGGAGCATGCTGGAGCGTGCTGCTTTAGCTAGTTCTCTGCTTCAACCGGTGAGCTACATTACCTGTAGGCCAGGCCAATCCATGGATCATGTGCTAGAGCTTGAGGCTCCTTTGAGACCTGGTGCGTACATCACTTGAGCTTGAGGCTGGTGGATCCTGTCACCTTGCATTGCTTGCATCCCATAGCCCCTTAGCTTCGCTGAGCTCCTGAGCGACTGACCATTGCTGACCCACCCTGCTGTTTGCTGCCTGTGGGCAAACTGCTTGCCTTGCCCGAGGGAGGACTCTGCTGTCTGCTTCCTTGATCTTGTGAGTTGAAGGACTTCCAGTATATTAACTGTTCCACGGAAATGAGTTGCACTGAACCCTCTGTACTGCTGTGTGGACTAATTAGCTGTTATATTCCCTCTCGCTGTATAAACCTATCCTCTTATGTAGATAATCATAAGTGTCCTGGTTTTGTATCTCGAAAGAGCCCTGACGAACACACTGTCTACAATGAGGAATCCTGAAACATCAGGAACCCGTCTTCTGGAGAGACCGGAGGCAAGGACATGGAGGACCAGCAGGAGGAAGGGGGCAGGGCTGGGGTGAGAGGGCCCAGGGACAGGCAACTGCTGCTTCTCCCTGTAAGCTTGGAGTGCCACTGGATTTGTCTCACCGCGCGACAATGACGTCACCATGAGATCCCCCTCTTCCTCCTCCTTTTCCACCATGGCCTCCTGTTTCCACTCTTTCATTTAATTAGCACATCCTGAGCATCGGCTCAGCCAGACTCCAGGCCTGTGCAGGGGTCTCAGGTGCCTGCGCCCTACTCCCAGACCTCAAGGAGCCACCACCCCACCGGACGTAGGAGCAGCCTCGATGAATGTTGCAGGGGACTCGACTCCAGAGGCCCCAGGGGACCTCGCAGCCCAGAGGGCTGGTGTCTCCCAGCAGACCCTGGCTTCCAGCTTCTCTCTTGGTTTGGAATTCCCAGCGGCAGGAAGATGGGGAAGGGACAGCCAGGTGGGGGAGAAGAAGGAGCGTGAGAGCAGGCAGCTGCCTGGTGAGCAGTAAGAACATTCCAGAATGGCGAGAATCAAGCATAGGTCACTTCCACAAGTATTAGTGACCGCCTTTTCCTAACAAAGAGCCACAGAGGAACTCCGCCCGTATTTGACATTGTCAGGGAACAAACGGGGCGTTTTCCATGTGGGAATTTTCCAGCTGACTGCCTTGTGCCACGGATTTGAGCAATTCTGGATCCGAATCATCCCCTGATGAATCACCCCCCTCTGTTTCCACAGATAGCACGCCAGCTGACAGTCTGTGTGCCAGGAGGGACTTGGGCATATCCAACAGCCCCCTCGATTCATGCTCAGGGACCCCTGCACAGGAACACTCCTGACAATGCTGGGCTGGAACACCAGAGATCAGAGGTCGGTTGGCTTATGACGTCAGCCCTGCAGGACCCAGCTGGCTCTCAGGAGTTCCACGACTGGGGGAAGAGGTGCTGGCCTTGTTGCCCACCAGCACCCCAGCAGGCCCACACTGATGCCCCCAAACCAGCCTGGGCTGAGCCTCCCCTCTGCAGAGCCCCCCTGCATTGCCAGGGCCAGGGGGCAGAGAGAGCAGGAGGTAGACCATGCGAGGCCCAACTAACCAAGCCGATGGCTCAAGCGCAGGAAGCCAGTCCTAGGGGACCAGCAGGGTGCGCCAAACGCAGAGAGGGAACCCAAAGCCCAGTGGGGCATCGGAGTTGGGTGTTGTCAAATGGAATCTGACTCACAGCAAGCTTAGTTGATGGCGTAGACCGGCTCCGCGCACGGGGTCTCTTAGCGGTGGTCTTTACAGACCGCCAGATTTTTCTCCCGTGGCTCCAAACACCACCACCTAAGCTTGTACCAGGGGGCTCAGATCAAGGGGGGAAGTAAGGTTCCTCGAGAACCCCAACGTGTTTGTGTTTTACGCTGCAAACCGTGGGCTTGGGGCAGGTCTAATGAGGCCCCTCCGTGGAATAAGCAGTGGTCGGACACAGAGGAAGCACATGAGAGGCGTGGCCGTTCCTGGAGGGTGGCCAGTGTGGCCAGACAGCCCCACAGGGTGTCCCTGAGCTGCCCACCCAGCCCCTGAAGGAACCAGAGGAGATTGTCTATGCTTTGTAATTTCTCAAGAAAGATCGCTGCCCTTTGAATACTCTCGGGTATGCTCCCACGGTTCCCAAGGACAAGAAAATATTTAAGGACACGAGGTATCAGCATCCTGAGACAAGACAGAGGCGACTTGCTTACGCGCGTGCGGGTGTGGCTGCTGACTGGGGTCTCCGTGGCCATCTTTGCCCACCGAATCAGAGCTCCATGGCGGGAGGTTTTGAAACACCCATCAGAGAGCGGCCCCCACCCCTCTTCCCTCTGCTTCAAACCTCTCTGAGGGAGGGAGCCCCTGGATAAAAATAAAACCCAAACCCCGGTCTGCAAGGCCTCCAGGGGTCTGCCACCCCCACCCCGCCTGCCCTTCTAGAAACTGTCTGTCCCTCTCATGCCGGCATGAAAGTGAGCCATCCTGGCTCAGGGCCTGGTGTCCACTGTTCCTCAGCTGGACTCCTCCTGGCCCAGTTAGTGCTACCCCTCGGACCCCAGCCCCGTGTACCTGCTTCAGGGACGTCACTGGTACCACTGCCCAGGTCAAGCTCTCTGTCACCCCTGGACTCCTTAATGCCTGCTCACCCCTGGGGGTCTGGGGGCCCCCTAAGAGCGGGGAGCACAGCGGTGTGCTACAGAGAGCTCAGGGGAATTGATGGGAGAAGAAGATGTGGTCATGTCTAGGTGCACACACACACACACACACACACACACACACACTCACTCACACTTACACCAAAAGACCCCACAGCCATTGAGTTACACTCACTGTGACCCTGCAGGACAGTGTAGAAAAGATCCCTGGGATTCCAAAGCTGTAATCCTTGACAGAAGCACACTGCCTCCTCTTTCTCCCACAGAGCGTCCTGTGGGTTTGAACCACCAACCTATTTTTCGGTTCACAACCCAATGCCAGCTCAGCTGCTGGCCAGAGAATGGCACCCAGCCCAAGGCCCTGTGGTAGAGAGACCTGGCTAAGTGCTCACATACCGAGTACAGCCAGAAAGAAGAAAAAATCAGCACCCTATGTGTGGTAGTCATATAATCGTTTGTCAATTGTGAGTGAAGGGGTGGAGTCTAGCCTGTCAATCATTATATAGCCAATGAGGCCTCTGTGTGGGCATAGCCTTCTCCTAAAGATTCTGGAAACTCCTGTATTTCCTCCTTGGAGGCGGGAGACTTTCTCTCTCTCTGCTCACCCCTGAGAGACACTCTTCTGACAATACACATGGTACTACAGTCATAGAGCCTGTGCCCTGGGAACTAGAGAAGCCACGTGGAGACCCCTGCCAGCGCTCAGATGCCTACACACCACTGGGTCCACAAGACTTCCCACACACTGGCCTGTGATCTTCCTGCATTCAGTGTCACTGCATGTGTTCTGTGAGTCAGAAAAGGACTTTATAGATTGGTATCAGACATCTGGGCTAATATCAGACTTATGGACTTGATCTGGACTGGGCTGGGATGTTTTCTCAATATTCAATTGCTCTTGTCTATAAAAATCTTTCCCATACACATATACGTGTCTGAATTTGTTTCTCTAGTCTACCCGGACTGACACACTGGAACACAGGTCTGCTCGGTCACAAGGGTCCCTCCGAGTCATCACCAACTCGATAGCACAAGCTATCGGGGTGGGGGCTGGGTACGCACACAGGGAAATGCTGGACATCTGGTGGGCTTTCCCCCCCACGGGTTGTAGAAGAGCTAGAGGCAAGAGATTGTTGGAGGACCGTGTGTGGGGTGGGGCGCAGTTCCACTCTGAAAAGCCATGCTGGCTGGTCCCCCCCCCTGCCCCCTCCCACTCCACCCCCCAGGAGAGCTCGGTGGCAGTTTTGCAGTCTGGGCCCTTTTGTACTGTGGACTCCCGCGTCATTTCAGGGACCACGATTCGTTTTTAAAATCGTAAATCACAATACAACATAAAAGGGCTATTGCGGGAGAGCAACACTAAGCTCAAGGAGGGACCTTAGAGTGAGCCGTCCCGGCCCCTTGGTTTCTGGGTCCGAGGAGTCCAGTCATGATGTTGAGGAGGTGTGGCTGAGCCGGGGACCCACACCACACCCGAGGCGGCAGAGGGAACCTTCTGGTCCTCTGGGCCTTGCCAAACACCACGTGGCCCGGGAAGGAGACCTCATTTGTGCTCATACAGAATACGCCAAGTTGCCTGTTTCCCTCCACCCTGCCTCCCCCATGCATCAGGCACCCCCACCTTGACACCTCCTGTGTCGACACCCCCACACACACACTCTGCTGCCCAGCCCTAACGCTGCATGCATTGAGCACCCCACTCCATCCCCTCCCCATGCCTCAGGAAGCCCACCCTGCCACCTGGCAGACCACACTCACATGGACAGCACCTTCACATCCAGGATCTCGTTCCTCAGCTCCAGGCATCGCGAGGAATTATACTCAAAGGGCCCCTTGTAAAATTCAAAGTACCTGGAAGCCAACAGGGACAGCGGTTATGCAGAAAAGCAGAGATCAGGCTTTGCTAGAGGGACTGGAGGCTCGTGGGGAGGGGCCCCCACATCCCTATCCCCAGCAGATGCCCTAGTGTGTGGGGGGGGCTCTGAAGGACCAAACGGAGGCTAACCATCCCCAAGGGCAGCGGTTCTCTACCTGTGGGTCATGACCCCTTTGGGGTCAAATGACCCTTTCACAGGGGTCGCCTAATACATCCGACACATCACGATTCATAATGGTAGCAAAATTATAGTTATGAAGTAGCTACGAAAATCATTTTATGGTTAGGGGTCACCACAACGTGAGGAACTGTGTGAAAGGGCGGCAGCATGAGGAAGGTTGAGCACCGCTGCCCTAGGGTGACGTGAATGACAGTCCTCTGAGCAAACGTGAAACCCCGACACCGGCCGTGCCGAGTATGGGCTGCACACTGCCCTCTCAGCTCCGTGACAGGGGCCACACCAGGAGTCTGGGGCAGTGTGACTTCCAGCCGCTGAGGAAAGTGTCTCAGGCTGCAGGCCACAAGGATTCCTACCAAACATTTCATTCCATCTGCACACGTGGTCCTCATGCTCACATGGATGTAGGTGCCCTGGCCTTTCTTTCGCCCCATTCGACAGCCAGGAAAACTGAGACTAACCAGACCCGGCTCCTGTCACCACGTCGGCGCGGGGCAGGCTTTTGGCTCGGCCCATGTCCAAGTGCAGAGGTACCCCGGCCCCTCCCAGCACCAGCGGGTTGCAGGCATATGACCGACACTGCAGGGCGTAGTGCCCGTCTCTAGCCACGATTAGGAGTCCTGGCTGTGTGGTGGATTAAGTGATGGGCCGCTAATCACCGGGTCCATGGTTCAAACCCAGAAGCCGCTCCACCGGCAAACGATGAGGCTGTCAGCTCCTGTATCGATCTACAATCTCAGAAGCCCTGAGGAGTAGTGCTACTCTGTCCTATCGAGTCAGCTGGGAGTTGGAATCCACTGAGTAGTGATGGCAGTGAGTGGGTGTGGGAGCTACGTAGTCTCTTGTCAACTTGAGTGAAGGGGTGGAGTCTAGCCTGTCAATCAGGTCACAGCCAATGATGCCTCTGTGTGGGCATGGCCTTCTCATGAGGATTCTGGGACGTCCTCTTTTCCCACTGGAGGTGGACCAGTCTCTACCTCTGCCTTGGTCTTCCTGCTGACAAGCCACATGGAGCCACGCTGATGGCAGCCAAAGTCCTGGAGATGCTTCCACCACCACTGGGTCCACTAGACTTTCCACACTGGCCTGTGATCTCCCTGCATTTGGCATCATTGCATGTGTTGCATGCATCGGAAGGGGAATTTATAGACTAATATCGGACATATGGGCTAATATCGGACTTACAGATGATCTGGACTGGGCTGGGATGTTTTCTGAATATACAATGACTCTTTGATATAAAGCTCTCTCTTACATACATTATGAATGACCTTGGATTTGTTTCTCTAGTCAACCAGCACTAACACCGTGGGGTCTCCTGGTCTGTCAAGTCTGACAGAGGAGGCTGAGCAGGGGTGGCAGGCTGGAGTAGGATGCTGAGGAGAAGTCCAGGGGAAGCCCCAGCACAGTGCCTGGCCCTCCGGACAAGACCAAGAAACGTCCCTTCCTCTCTCTCCCCCTTGTCTCGCCACCACGAAAGGGTGGGGAGGCGCCACGTGGGAGGCTGACGTGTCGACTGCCCCATCTGGGAAATGGCCTTTCTTTCTCCAGCCTCTGCTGGGCTCTTGTCATCCTGGGGTTGTGCTTGTTGCACAATGGTTACGCACTTGGGCTCCCAACCAAGAGGTGGGTGGTTCTAACCCAGCCAGAACGACCTCCGAAGAAAGGCCTGGTGACCCGCCCCTAAAAAGTCCCAGCCTTGCAAGCCCCGCGGTGCAGACTTCTACCCTGTGCACCAGGAGTCGAGTCAGCTCCACAGGGACTGGTTTGGGTTCGGGTTTTCCAGTTTGGGGCTCCACCTGGGTCTCTAAAGATGGCTGAATTGAGAATTAAGAATATGAGAAACGGGGCCGCGAGGAAGAGCCAACCGGAGACGGGGCTTCTGGCAGGACGTCGAGACTGTGCATTCTGGGGGAGCCACGGCCATCGCGCTTGGCTCTGGAGACAGGCCACGATGCAGAGAGCAGAAAGGATGCTTCTGTGGGTTTGGGGTGAAGATGCTCACGTGATAATGGCGGCTGGAAGATGCACCACCTCCGATAAAGAATGCGCATCCAGAGAGAGACGGCTGGGGAAGGGAGGCGCTGACGCAGGTGGTTCAGTGTGTGTTTCTCCGGGTGGTGAAACGGTGAGAAATGTAAACCACACTTCCTGTGTTTATGGGAATAGGCGTATGACTCTTGTGACTGAAAATTACTAATAAATGTCCTTTTCTTTGAAGGCCTGACCTCCTGCTAAATATCCCGAGCTGGCCCTTCCCCTGGCAGATGTGTGACGGAAGTAATTTCTACGGCCATCTGAAGCTCGATCAGCTGCCAAGGTGAGCTAGTCAACAGTCTCTCCTTTCCGTTCTGGGAAGACGCGCTCACCCAGCGCTCACCCAGCTCGAAGGGGAGGCACGCTGGCAGCGCACGTGGGCATCTCAGGTGTCAACAGTCCCCGCCAGTCATGCCAGGAGCCCAGCTCCTCTCAGATGCCAATGGGTACCTCCAGCCAAGTCAGGCGTGGGCACCAGACTGCCCGGGGCCGCCTCTCTGTCTCTGCAAGCTTGGGGGCCGGCTCTGGCTGCCTGGTCAGGAGGGGCTAGGGCCCACAGAGGAAGAAGACAGACGGTGAGGGCTCTCCGCCTCCTGCCACATCCAAGCTCTCAGCTGGCCAGGCTCAGGTTGCAAAGAGCCTAACTCGGTTGTCCCTCCCGGCTTCCCCCCACAGAGGGATCCTCTTTGGCCTGGCCCCACGCCATAGCCTCACCAAGACCAAGCCATCTCCCCCAGATCCCCGGCAGCCACTGGCTCCTTCAAGATGAGCTTCAGGCATCTAGCCTCCTCTCTTACCTGCTCCCGTCGCCCAGCTGCTAGGTGCTGCTGTTGGGGTTCAAGAGAACAGGAGCCCAGGGGGGTGGCTGTGTTACACAAGAACGTGCTTCGTAGACCCCCCCCACCCGAGTGCAGGGAGCTGCCCTGGCTGAGCAAACTAAGCCCCAGGTTCTGCCAAGCCTGGTACAGACAGACTCAGATAGGCCCCAGAGCTGGCGCTCACTCCACCTGGGCACCATCAAGGCATCTCTGTGCAAATCAGGCAAAAGCATCTTTTCCTCCAGGCGAATTCAGCCACCTCCCAGGGACACGGCTTGTCAAGTAAACGCAAGCTGGAGTTCAGCCCAAGCTGGCCCCTGGGCTAGGTGTCTGTTCTGGGCCCACCTGCACCCTGTGTAGAGCAGCCCGATGCTTCCACTTAGTCTCACTGAATCCTCACAATACCCCATGAGGCAGGGGCTCAGCCGTCTGCTGCAGCTACAGAAATACCGCTGGGGGTGACTTTGGCGGGCAGACCTGCAGTGGGTCACAGTGCCCAAACCAAACTCACTGCCATCAGGTCAATGCCCACTCACGGCCACTCCAAAGGGCAGGGTAGAACTGCCTCAGTGGGGCTTCCGAGGCTGTGGCTCTTGAAGGAAGTAGAAAGCCCCATCTTTTTTCCTCAGCCCAGCGGAGGGGTTTGAACTGCTAACTTTGAGGCTAGCAGCCCAATGAGTAAACCACGGTGCCACCAGGGCTCCTGGCAGGGTGCCGGCTCTGGGAGAAGGCTGTCTCTCTGTCGGCTCTCAAGGAAGGCCCTTGTCTCCTTTCAGCATCTATGAATCCGTGGTCCCTGGAGAGCCCCATGCGTCTTGGCATCAATCTCCTGGGCCTGGGCAGAAGGCGCACAGCAGCTGGGAACTCAACTCAGGGTTCCCACACGGAAAGGAAGATAATTCTGCCGCTGAGACCCCCAATGTCCCCGCAGGCCAGGACAGCCAGGGGAGAGGGACCCCAAGCTTTGAAGAGCCCGGGAATCCCATTCCCCCACCCGCTGCCTCCCAAGAGCAACCATGAGCTCAGTGCTATTTCCAGAGTGCGAGCAGCTGCCAGCTCAGGATCTCACACTAACCAGCAGAACAAACCCACAGAAACCGGAGTCTAAAAATTGCAGCCTGACGACACAGAGGGACGGAAGTGTCTTCCCAAATGGGCACAGGGAGAGGCCAGCAGGGTCTGCTGGTAACAATGGAGGAGCCCGGCTGCCAGGTGAGACCTAGCTGTGAGACCCCTGCCCTGCTTTGTGGCCTGGGACCTCGACTCTCCTCCCTGGGCCACGGTCCCTGACTGGTCGGTGGGACTCACTGGAGGTGTGTGGGGACATGAGAACGGAAAGCTAAAGAGTCCGAAGTTCTGGGCACAGCCCTAGCTGGCTCTGTGGTTCACTGGAGGTCAACCTGAGAAAACCTCACCCAGCCTTAGAGTGTCAGCCCGGGGTGGGAGGGGGTGGTGTCAGGAGCAACACCTGGTGCAGAGATTCACTCCTCCTTCCCCCAACCAGAGCCTGAGTCCAGCACATTCTTTGCAAAAACACATATGTAGTGCATGGCCTTCTTTTCGGGGCCAGCCCAGGGAGCCTGCAAGCTCCCCTTTATACAGCAGCCTGGACCCCTCAGGACAGCCTTCTGCACTCAGCCCTGAAACTGCACCTGGTGGCTTTCGGCCACCATCCCTATGCCACCCCCACGCCCAGAGCTGCCCCCTAGCTGCACCTCCCGCTCCCTAACCAAAAAAACAAACCCACTGCCAGCGAGTCGATGCCAACTCAATGTGAGCAACCCTACAGAGCAGGGTAGAAGTGCCCCTGCGAGTTTCCAAGACAAACTGTGTCCAGAAGTAGGAAGCCCATCAGTCTCCCACGAAGCTGCTGGTGGTCGCCAACTATCTGTCTTGCAGTTAGCAGCCCAAGGCGTAACCACTAGGTCACCAGGGCTCCTAC